GGGGGGGGGGGCCCCCCCCCCCCCCCCCGACCCCGCGCACCTCCTCTGGCTTGCCCAGGATGGCGGCGGCGGCGGCGCCCAACCGGCCGGGCAGGTCACGGGGCAGCTGCGCCGCCGGCACGTTGGTCTCCAGCTCTAGGAAGGGCATCTTGTGCGGCGCTCCGCAGGCGGGAGCCCGGCCGCCCCGCCAGCCCCGCCTCCCGCGGCGGGAGGGGCGTTGGCGCGGGAGGCCCCTGAGTCGCTCCGCCTTTCCTCTTTATAGTAAACCATGCCGAGCCTTTGGGGCGTCTGTCCTGCGGCCCCTTTAAACAAAAGAAGAGCTTACCGTATATTTCGCGCTTTTATGGACAACGTTAATTAAAATAAACGCCCCGAGTCGCGTTTCCGAGGCCCTCCGATCTCGCCCGAAGATGCCGCCCGTGGTGTGGCCGCGCCCCTCGCAGGGCGCTTGGGTAGTCGGCAGCCAATAGGCGTCCGTCTTGCTGCCCAGTGGCGCGGCGGCGGCGGCTGGGATCTCGGCTTCGGCCAGCATGGTCCGTGTCTCGCGGGGGCGGAGGGGGGGCGGGGGCTCCCGGGGGGACTCCGCGGCTGAACGTTACTCTCTCCGCAGATCCGGATCGCCGCGCTCAACGCCAGCTCGGCCGTGGAGGACGACCCCGAGGGAACCCTCAAGAGCCACAAGTCGCAGACCAAGGAGGCGCAGGTGACTCGTCCGGAGGGCCTCCCCCCCCCCCCCGCTCCCCGTCCCCGGAGGCGCCCAGCCGGGGTAGCTGGTTCTGAGAGACGCGGAAGTCAGTGGGCCGCTAACCTCCATTTGGGTGGCGGATTCTTCCTAGCAGGCAATGAAGCCCCTTCTCTGGCCTCGCTGGCGGCGGGTCTGAGGGCTCAAGGAAGCCGTGCTGGTTAAAGGCCCAAAACGTCTGCTAAGCTCCGTCGGCCTGATAAACAACAATTACGTTGTATTGGGTTTTTTTCATGTTTGCCACCTATGAAATAGGTAGATGATAGTCTCTGAGCCACCAAATGAGGCCTCCAAGTACTGCTCCGGTTATTGATTATCTTCACTTGATTATTTGTTACTGTAATCAAAGGCTAGATGGGGGCAGAAGGAAGTGTGGAACAATGTTTTCCAAACCTTGGCTCGTGACTCTCAATTTATTTCCAAAATCACAGGTTTTAGATTAGATTAGAACCTAAAAGGTTTTACTGTAGCTAATGCATTGTCCAGAAAGTTATGTGGCCTCCTGAAAATAATAAATATCGAATAAAATGAGCCGTTTTGGCAAACAAATGCACTGTTGCAAAAGTGATCCTGGTGGAAGATCGATAATAAATCAGTAGAGAGCAGCCCCAGAGTGCGAGAGGGGAGGGAATAGCTGGTTTAGCCCAGATAGCCTTGGCCTGCTGTCAGATGTGATAGGATGAGAGGCATGGTCATCTGCTTGCTTCCTTGCCACCAGAATATTCATTGGACTCTCTCAAGATGGTTTTAAAAGAGCCTGTGATTGATTGATTGATTTAATTATGTTGAAAGTGTAAAATGAATGAGAAATTATGTATTCATATAGTATTGATTTGTTTTAATGATGATTGATAATCCACAATAAGATCATAATGGAACCTGCCCATCATGATTATGTCATGACAGTTGCAAAACAGAATGACCTTATGACTGACCACATTTTCCAGTCATTTTGCAGCAATCATTAAGTGAATGTGACAGTCATTAAGTGACCACTGCAGTTGTTAAGTGAACACCGTGGCCACGGTTTTGCCAAAAACAGGAAGTTAACAAATCTGGACCATAAATAACTCCCAGGTAGGTCCGTTGTAAGTTCAGAACTGTAGGAGATGGCCAGACTGAGCCTGGCGGGGAGGAGACGAGGGAGGTGTCAAACTCATCAATTTGATGTCTCTATGCCCCTGTAAGAGATCCAGAGACTTTTATCTGGCATCAAATTGCCTTGTCCATTAGTAGTTTAGATTCTTGTGTATAGGTAGCATAAAATAAATTTCTAATACTTTTATTTATTTGTTTGTTTGTTTATTGAATTTATATCGCTGCCTATTCGCACATGGTGACTCAAGGCAGCTTACAGAATATAAAACCTCATTTACAACAATAAAACTAATAAAGAATCAAATAAAATCACCTCCCCCCTCCCGCCCTGGTGACAGCAGATCACACAAGCCATTTAATGCGCTCCATCCCGCTCTGGGTTCTCCAGGACTGCTGGCAGAACCAGGTTTTCAACGCCTTCCGGAAGAGCATTAGAGTAGGGATCTAATCTCTGAGGGAGTGATGTTCCAGAGAAAGGGAGCCATTATGGAGAAGGCCCTTCTTGTGGGTCCTATCAGGTGATCGTCTTAGGGGATGGGACCTGCAGCATTCGCTGCCTCTCTGCTCTGATAGGTAGATGTGACCTGCAAGAACCAGTCCCTCAGATCACCTGGTCCACAGCCATGAACGGCTTTAAAGGTGACAACCAGCATCTTGAATTGCAGCTGGAAGCAAATCGGCAGCCATTGCAGCTCCCGCAGGAGACGTGATACATGTGCACACCGGGGTCTGCGCAAAACCATGCAGCCAGTTGCATTTTGTACCAACTGGAGCTCCCAGATGCTCTTCAAGGGCAGCCCCCTGTAGAGCGCATATGCAATTATCAAGGCAGGAAGTGACTAGGGCATGAGTGACAGTGAGTAGGGATTGTTGGTCCAGGAAAGGGTGTAACTGGTGCACAACCCAACGTTGTGCAAAGGCCCTCCTAGCCACAACCGCTACCTGCTCTTTGAGCAGGAGTCGTAAGTCCACGAGAATCCCCAGATTATGCACAGTGTTTGTTTGGGGGAGTGCCACCCCATCCAGGACCATTCTCCATGAGCTAACAAACCCCAAACCCAGAGCCACTCTCAATCTTGCCAGAGTTTAGTTTCAACTCGTTAAACTTTCACACTTTTATCGTGTTCCTGATTTCTTAATCCTGACAAGGACCATCTGTACAGTAGTGCTTAAAAGTTTGTGAAAGTTTTTGAATTTTTCTGCATAAATGTAACTTAAAATGTGATCCTAAAACTACATAAAGAGAACCAATTAAACTAGTAAGTCAAAAATATATTATATAAATGAGCAAGTTTTTGCCTCATTTATTTACTGTATTTTTCGGAGTATAAGATGCACTTTTCCCCCCTAAAAGAGGGTGAAAATTTGGGTCTGTCTTATATACCGAATGTAGTTCTGCCCACCCACTGGCCCCCACCCTTTGGCTCTGCCTCCCAGCAATTTGCCTCTTTACAGCAAACAGCCTGTTTCAGTTTCAGCACAGTTTTGTTAGCACATGCAGCTGATTGTCGGTTGGATTGGCCGCCTAACCATCAGCTCTTTCAGGCTGTAGGGATTGTTAGTGCCACCTTTGTGCTCCATTTTCCACCTATTCCAATCCCCGTTGCCCAGAACTGGCGGGAAATGGGGTGTGTGGAGGCCGAAAATGGGGGGTGTATAGCAGTGGTGAGATTCAATTTTTTTTGCTACCAGTTCAGTGGGCATGGCTAGGTAGGGGGGCATGTGACTGAATGAGTATGGCCAACTTGATGTCTCTCACACCCACATCGTCACGTGCCCCCCAACTAGCCGCAGGAAAAGGTAGGAAAAATTTTTGGATTTTCCCTATCTACACCCGTTCTTCCTTCGCTACTTGCCCACATTTCCCTGCTTCTTTCCCCACCACCGCCTCTTTGGTTGCTTACCTTCCGCAGCAGTTGGCCCAATCTGGAAGGCAAGCTGACCGGAGTTTTTGGTGGCCCCCAGCCAGCCGCCACTGCTGGAAAGCGGCTGGCTGACAAAGAACCCTCCCAGCAGCCACCTTTTTGCATATTGGCTGTAAAAGAGGCGGGCGGCTGACCGCTGAAAAGTCCTCCGGTAGATGAAAAAGTGGCTGCTGTCGCCACCATATTCTTTGTACATGAGCATCCAATCGAACTTGCAAGGCAATGGGATACGCATGCACGAAGAAGATGGCGGCAGCAGCAGCCACTTTTTCACCGACCGGAGGACTTTTCAGCGGCCAGTCGCCCACCTCTTTGACAGCCGGTATGCAAAGAGGCAGCGCAAGCAAGCAGCGATCGGATGGGTTGGGTGAGCAACCGGTGATAGGGGGGGGTTGGTTCGGGGGCATGGTCAGCCAGCCAGCCATCGCTACCAGTTCACCGAATTGCAAAATTTCTGCCACCAGTTCGGGCAAACCGGTGCGAATCAACTGAATACAACCTCTGGTGCAGAAGCTGAAAACGGGTTGTGGAGGCCAAAAATGAGGAGCCTGAAACAGCATCATCAGGAGGCCGTCCAACCGACAATCAGCTGCTTGTGCTAATCAGGCTGTGCTGAAATTGAAGCACGCTGTTTGCTGCAAGGAGGCAAATTCCTGGAAGGTAGAGGCAGGTTTTTTTTCTTGTTTTCCTCCCCAAAATCCAGGTGCATTTTATACTCCGAAAAATATGGTAATTGGATTCTCTTTATCTGGTTTGAGATGTGTAGAGAATAGATCATGTGTAGGTCATATTTAAGAAGAAAAAAATAACAATTCAAAAGGATCTCTGCAAACTTTTAAGCATGTCTGAATTCTGATTTACTGTATGTGATAGGGGCTCCAAAGAAGACCAGCACCGCAGACCGGCATTGGTTTGCAGTGCGCCAGAAACCGGGCTGTGCAAATGAGTGACATCCCACCTGTGCACACATGGGATGAGTAAAACCACACCCCCTCTGATCCACAGAAAAGCCTCTCCATGGAACCGGAAAAACATCTCCCAATGTTGGAGGGCTGCTGCTCTATAAGATTGTTAATATGATGATACTAAGATACTTTGGTTTAGATATACAAGTGTACTTTTGAACTGTGTACTCCAGATTTGGAATTTATTCTTATGGATTTATCCAATTTAGAACAAATGAAACAGGCCATTGTTCTCTATTCCCTCATCTAAGTCATTTATTAAGATATTGAAGAGTACTGGGCCTAGGACGGAACCTTGTGATACTCCACTGCTTACTTCCCTCCATGTAGATGTAGTTAGTACCATTAAGGACCACTCATTAAGTGTAGTTTGTCAACCAGTTACAAATCCATCTGATGGTGATGCTGTCTATCCTACATTTTTCTAGCTTTTCTATGCCTTGGTATGGTGTGATTTGGGGGGGGGGGGGAGTTTTGTATTACTGTTTTGCTAAACATGTCTGGAAGAAAATTCAGAAGATCCTCAGCAGTTGAAAGAAGCAACCGAGCCTCGCAGGCACCTTCTCTGAAGTAGAGTGAAGCCTTGAAGAATTCCATTTAAAACAGCCCTATTGCCTTTCATAGCTGAGCAAGACTCGCAAAAGTGTTTCTTCTGAGCATGTGTGCATCTTGTAAAACGTCTTAAAGTAATGTCTTCTTAAGATTTCAGAGTTGCAGGAACGTTCTTTTTTCAGAGTGGGGTGTTTAATCAAGCGCACTGTGTCTCTGGCTCTCTAGGAAGCAGAAGCCTTTGCCCTCTATCACCAGGCACTGGATCTTCAGAAACATGACCTCTTTGAAGAGTCGGCCAAGGCCTACCACGAACTGCTGGAGACTCATCTGTTGCGCGAAGTCAGTGAAGAAGGGACGTCTCTCTTCTGCTTGATGTGGGGGTGGGGAGCTTCTTGGTCTAATTGGGAGGTAGCATCTTTGGCTCTGCTGCCACTGAAGATCTTTTAGTGCAGCGGTCCCAAGCCTTTCTGACTTGGCTCAGCGGGGAGGGGGGGAGGGGATGCTTCTGTGGCACTCCTCCATTTGTGCAAGGGGTGGGCGCTCCCAGCTGCTGCTCGCAGAAATGGAGCTGCGAGTGCCTGCTGTTTGTGCAAGTGGAGCTGTGCACATGTGCTCGCCTGCCACTTGTGGGCCTGGTTCCGAACAGGCTGTGGCCCAGTTCCGAACAGGCTGTGGCCCAGTTCCGAACAGACTATAGCCCGAAGGTTGGGGACCCCTGTTTTAGTGGGTTGCCATCTGAAGAATCTCTTTATAACCATTGATAATCTAGGAAAAAGATGAAGCCTTATGAATTAGCAATGACGTTTGCAGAAGGGATAGATGGGAACTAATCTGTACTTCAGAACCACTATTAAAGACATTGGCTTTTCAGGTGACGGGGTGGCCATTGATAGTCCCAGCCAGATAGAAGCAGGTGGAGGATGAGAGATGAAGTGGCCTGGGGATGTCCTTCCCCAGCACAGCCCATTCCTGTGAGGACCTGGGAGCACCTGTCCGAATGGTTCTAGAAGGACCTCTGCAGAGTTCCTCAGTTGCAAGGGCAGCTCTTTACCCCTGCAGCCCCCACCCATTCTGATGCATCACTCCTATGACTGCTTATGTGGCAGGGGCTTGGTTCTGGATGCATCTTCAAGCTAAAACCACTTCAGGGATTCCCTACATGGGAAGATTAGAGACAGTTGCCTTTTAGAGTATTTTTCTTTCTAGGTCAATTTTGATTTTTGATTTGATTTGATTTTTTTTTAACATGAGAAAGAGAGAAAGGTGCTTATGGTCTTCACTGGTTCCATGAGCAGGAAGGGGCACTCAGAAGGCACAATCAGCAACATGCTGAGCTGCTGCCTCTTCCCTTGGGATCCCTTCCATAGGGATCAATTCATAGGGAGCTCCATCAGCAGGAGAGCAGGGCTGGTGAGCAGTCAAAACAATCTCCAACCCCACATGCCATTTCTTTCCAATGTTCAGCCTGGGCTGCCATACATCCTCTTCCTGGTCTTTCCCCCAACGTCTGAACAAGAAAGGGCATTTCTTCCCTTTTAGAAGCTGGTGTGTGTGTGTGTGTGTGTGTGGATGAAATGCTTCTATGGCAAGTTCCTCCTAGAACCTCAGATCCTCTTTGGGGCTTTGAAAGGTGAGTCTTCCTAGCTTTATTTGTGGCTGCAATGGATAGGAGGTCTTGTTTTATATCTTGAATTCAAGGAGCAGCCATGAAAGATCATTTGGTGATATTTTAAATCATTATTACAGACAAAACATTTTCCACCACTTCCTTCTGATTTTCAGGCAGTTGCATCTGGAGATGAGAGGGAGGGGTTGAAGCATCCAGGCTTGATGCTGAAGTATTCAACTTACAAGAACTTGGCCCAGCTGGCTGCCCAGCGAGACAACATCGAGACAGCTATGGAATTCTACCTGGAGGTGAACCGTTCTCCCTCTCCCCTCCGTTCCACCCAGGCTGACACTGAAGCAGAAGATGACTCGGGGGAGGGGGGGAGAGAGAGATCTCACCTGCTTCAGCTGCTGCAGCGGTTTCATTGCCCAGGTCCCTTTCCTTTGCGTAAGACCTGTTGTAGTTGCCCCCCCTTTCTCATTTTTGCCTACAGTGTTTGTCTCAAGCATAGGTGCTCTGTTGACATTGCTTTTGAACATGTAAGTCTTTTCTGCTCCTGTGAAGTTTTTATACCAAAGTAATTCTTATTCCATATGTTGTTTATTTTTATTATTGTTGAGTAAAGAGATGAGGTGGCTCAGTACCTTAAAGACCCTGGAGATGGTCTTTGCTCCAGCGATTCAACTCCTAGCACTGTGTGTTGGGGTGAGCTCCCATCACTTTCTCAGCTTCCATCCACCTAGCAGTTCAAAAGCATGCTACATGCAAATAGATAAATAGGTACCAAAAACCTATTGGTGGGGAAATAATGGCATTTCATACAGTGTGTGAATCCAGCCAGAGCTGGATCTTCCCCAATGCAAGGCTGAACACAGGCGACCTTGGTGGAGGGAGAAGTCCCAGATGAAGCTCCAGAATGCCATTGAACTTTTCCGAGTGTGGAGCTAGATTACCCCCTCGGGAGCACACTGGATAGTGCATGAGCATGAACTGAATGGACAGCAATTGATGGCAGCCAAACAACTAATTTGCACTCGCACTGTAGTCCCTTGGCTACTGTAACTAAATGTGGATGTAAATAAATAATTGTTTAGTAAATATCTCAAAAAATTACAATCTGGAAATAATATTCTAAATGTTAGCATTTAGCAAACACTACAATCTGAGAATTTTCCTTAGATTGTGCACTTTGAAATGTTGCTTTGCTTCCTGGTAGTGAGGATGGGAGGGTGGAAGGGCAGTTTTCAGCTTTCTTCTGGGAAGGGTAGAGTGGGTCGGTGCAGTGAACAGTGACCTGGAACACTTGTTTCCACTATCAATTTTAGTTCCCCTCTCTCTACAAAAGGTCAGCTGAAATTACACTACCAAAATGAATCCTTTGCCATAAACTGTTGGCCGCCTGCAATCCTGAGCTGCCGTCCTCTCAGTGCCCTAGAGCCTTGGGGGTGGGGGGTGTAACCAGTGGGCAGCCTTCAGCCTCTGATGGTCCAGTTTACCTGAAGAACCTTGTCTACTGTGTTTCCCAGGCTGTGCTACTTGACTCCACGGATGTCAACCTATGGTATAAAATTGGCCATGTGGCCCTTCGGCTTACTCGCCTGCCCCTGGCACGGCATGCTTTTGAAGAAGGGCTTGCATGTAATCCAGATCATTGGCCTTGTTTAGATAACCTCATCACTGTCCTCTACACCCTCAGCGACTACACAAGTAGGTCCTTTCTGCTTTTCTTAATTTAGAATTTCCTGTAGTGTTGGAAACAAGCGGTCTTGGAAACTGCAAGTTGGAGGGTTGATTACGACTAGAACGCAGCAGCTATGCAGGCCTCCAGGTTATGAAACATACTCAATATGTCTGGTGTTTTTTTTTTGTTTGTTTGTTTCTTTATATCTTAATTCCACAGAAAAGGACAGATGATGGCAAAGGTTCTCTCCCTCTCTGATGATACTCATGCAGAAGATGATTGTGTTATTTCTTTATTTATTCTGCTATTGCTTCCTTAATCTCAGGGGAATCTAGACAACCATCATAAACATCTTGTTCAAATTTGCAAGTGTTGAAAAACATGACTTAAAACTGTCACAGTGTCCCTGCAGTCACATGATCAAAATTCAGGTGCTTGGCAATCACCATGTATTTATGACAGATGCCATGTCCTAGGATCATGTGATTGCTATTTGTGACCTTCTCAAGGTGCTTCCAACAAGCAAAGTCAAGGAGATAAGCTGGATTTATTTAATAATTACAGGGCAAAAGCTTATAAAATTGGGCACCACTCATTTAATGAAAGTATTGCTTAGTAATGCAAGTTCAGATCTCAGTTGTGGTTGTAAATCAATGATCAAGATGGTTACCATGCATGAGTCTCAACAATATGGATAAAAGTTTGTTTTGCAAATTCTGTAAAGAGGTAGCACAAAGGAGTCTCGAATGCATTAATAGAAGTCTTCTTTCTTTATTGATACCCTCAGCGTGCTTATATTTTATTTGCAAAGCGCTGGAAAAAGATAACTCTTACAGCAAAGGACTTGTTATTAAGGAGAAGATCTTTGAGGAACAGCCGTGCCTCAGAAAGGACTCCTTAAGGATGTTTCTGAAAGGGTAAATAACTTCTTGTTTTCACATTTGGTGTTACTCTGGAAGTTGTCACAACTTCCATCGTGACATTGGCAAACAGAGTGGCTCACTGGGTTGAGGAAGTGTTTATAACAGCTTTCCAGAGCCTTACAGATTGGTATCTGGTGTGTTCTGTCCTATAGAGGATTAAATTTGTGCTCAAGATTGCAATATTTATCCTGCCTGAATTCAGAAATAGAATGGGATGAATTTGCAAATAAAAGGCTAGTGGTTACTTCAGAAATTTGATATTAGGGAAAATATTTTGTAAATAAATAAAGCAACTTTTATTGATTCAGAAACCAACACCGTATTTCTCCAAAAATAAGACAAGAACTTATTTTCTTTTTACCCCCAAAATATGGGCTTGGCCTTATTATCGGGAGAGGGCTTATTATTTTCTGGAAGGTGGGTGGGGGAGAAGCGAGGCGAGCATCTTACCTTTACAGCTCTGTCGTGTTCCTTGCGTATTGTGTCCAGGGAAGCACCTTGTAAAAAAACCCTTCTCACGAGTTCAATCAAACTTCTCGAACTCACTAGGTTTTTTTACAAGGTGCTTCCTTGGACACAATGGCGAGGAACGCGATGGAGCTGCCAATCTCCGGTAAGAGGTACATCTCATGGCCCAACACCTTCCACCCCGCCCCAATGGCAATAGCTGCCTGGCTACTTCCCTTCCCCACCGTCTCTTTAGGGAGAGGGGTGTTGTAGAAGAGGATGACTTGACTACTGTATTGGAGTAAATTACTGAGTTGAGTTTGAAAATATTGTTGAGTTTGAAAATATTGTTGAATTTGAATAAATTGATTGTTGTACCATACATGAGCATTATGGTCTCCCTTTGTGTGGGTTGGGGTCAGGGTTTGTGATTGTGGTTTTCCTGTGTGTGGCAATGGGTCTTTCTTTCCCTCCCTCCCTTTTCTGATTCTCTTTTCTCTGCCTTCCTTTCTTTTTCTTTTCCTTCCTTTCTCCCCATTCTCTCATTTGTTTTGAGTCTCACAAAGACTCAGGAGGGTGGCAGGTGGGGCAGGGGAGAAGCAAGGCACGGATACTGGCAGCTCCATCCCGTTCCTCGCCATTTTGTCCAGTGAAGCACCTTGTAAAAAAACCATGTGAGTTCGAGAAATTTGATTGAACTCACAAGGTTTTTTTTTACAAGGTGCTTCCTTGGACAAAACAGTGAGGAACGCAATGGAGCTGCAAATCTCAGGTACCGCTAGAAGTGCCTCGTTTCTCCCCACCCCACCTGCCACCACTCTCGCTAAAGAGACGGCGGGGAAGGGAAGCAGCCAGGCAGAAGTTATCATTGGGTAGGGTGGGAGGTGTTCTTTTTGTGCGGGAAGGAACGGGGCATAAGGAGCGTTGCTGGCCTGCTGCTCTTTTTGTGGCTGGCCCTTTTTGTGTGGGTTGAATGTGACGCGAGGCGCGTTGCTGCCTAACGCTGTTTTTGCGGCGGGCCCTCTTTTTGCCTGGCCATCAGCTGTACTGGTAGGTACGGTAAGGGCATGTGGGGTGCGTGGGGGCATGTGCCCTTTTCTCCCCCTCCGGCCTCACCTCCTCACCTCAGTTGTTTGCATGTAAACCAGCCAGTGGAAATTGCGGGGACCAGCTGTGTATGTGTTTAAGGGGGAACTTATTTTCGAGGGGATTTTAGCGCATGGCGTGAAAAGCCCGATTGGGCTTACTATCAGGACATGTCTTATTTTCGGGCAAACATGGCAGCTTTATATTTAATTATACATCCTTAATTCATTCACGTAGGGACGCGGTGGCTCAGTGGCTAAGACGCTGAGCTTGTCGATCAGAAGTGTCAGCAGTTTGGTGGTTCGAATCCCTAGTGCCCAGAGCTCCGGTTACTTACCCCAGCTTCTGCCAACCTAGCAGTTTGAAAGCACATAAAATTGCAAGTAGAAAAACAGGAACCATCTTTGGTGGGAAGGTAACAGCATTCCCTGCACTTCTGCTGTTTCGTAATCCTGGCCACATGACCACGGAGACATCTTCAGACAGCACTGACTCTCCGGCTTTGAAATGGAGATAGCACTGCCCCCTAGAGTTGGGACCAGCACATTTGTGCGAGGGGAACCTTTACGAACCTCTGGTTTGCTCGTAGGACCGTTTTTCTCCCCCGGAGCCTTCAGGGCGAAAAACGGACCTACAGGGAACCTGGAAGGTCAGGAATTGTGACTTCCGGTTTATCCGTAGGGCCAATTTTTGATCTGTTCACATTCATAACTACATGTCTTTGGTGTGAAAATGGAGGTCACAGCACAAGTTGGAGGTTTGAGATTTGTATTTGGTTTGCTGCCTACTTAGCCAATGATGTCCTTTCCCCATAAATTAGGCTCGGGAAAACATCTCTTAACAAAGCCACTGCTCGGGCTAAGTGAAAGAAAGAAAAGTCAACTTTCCACTTCACAAGTTCTTCAGGGTGAAGAGAATTTATGCAAAAGCAGCCGCGATTCTTGCTGTCTCTTCTCCCCCTTTCAGGGCTTCCCGTTCCTCGCTTAGCTACCAGCCTCCTTTATGGATGCAATTTTGGGGTGGCAGGTGGGGAGGGGTAGGGCAGAGGGAGAAGCAAGACGCACATCTTGCCTGATTTCCAGCTGTCATGTTTCTCACTGTTGCCAGAGCTGGAAGTCAGGTAAGACACGTGCCTCGCTTCTCCCCCTCCCCCCTGCTCCCCCCCCCCCCCCCCCCCCCCCCCCCCCCCCCCCCCCCCCCCCCCCC